ACACACACACACACACACACACTCAAACATTCACATACGTACGCACACACACACACACACACATGCCGAACCTCTGAAACTGACTCAACAAAAAACCCTGCGTTCGATCAAACCGTGTTAGCTTTTTAAAGGCGAAACAGACAATAACAAAATGAAGAATTAATAATAATATGTCTGATCAGTAGCAGATCAAATGCAATGTTGAGGCACATTTCAAATTATCTTACAAACGTTTTTAAAAATACAAATTTTCATTGAAAGCATGCTGTTGTCTTCTTTTTGTAAGTCTCAGATAAAGGAAACAGAACTGAAAAAGTTATTTTGTGAATAACCAAGTTACGCTTTTTTAAAACAATGTTCTAGGGCACACGTTATCAAACAACCAGAACGCGTGTCATGGTGGAGTTAAGAACAACTGTTATAGACAGTCTTTTCAGTACGCGAGGTTGTTGATCAAACACAGTCTATTTTACAACACAAACTTTATTTCTTAAAAAATATTTTTGATTTGTGATCGCACCTGCTCGACCAAAAGGACACAGAATGCTCAAGATGGCCTACTTTTTGACATTCTGATTTGGAGGAACTGGATTATTTGCACCACGACGCTGGCTCGCAGTTGAGTTGTGCAGCGATCCTCCTTCAACTCGACCCTTGGTAACCTGTGATCATAAAGTGTCGGGAGACAGAACTTGGTGCTCAACGCTGGCGGCATACTCTACGCTACCTTTGTCGTTCTTTGATTAGAACTGAAAAAACGAAATTTTAATTTGTTCCGTTTCTACTTCGGATCTGATTGCGACACCATGGGCAATGATGTGGAACCTTCGAGCTTAATCAATGAACTATAAATGTTATGGGTCATGTCTTAGGACGTATGACTGAAGTCATGAAGTGCGATTGGATTTCTGAACAGTTATTCCAACGAGGTCAGGACGTGTCAGACGTGAACTTGTTTATTAAGTGCCAAATTCCTAAATCATTTTAATAGAGCAATTCATAACTAGCTCACGATATTCTGTTGTCAATATCATTCCTGAATCGTATTTCCTTTACTTTTTCTTCCCAGAGACGTACAATTTTCATTGTCTGAATTATTTTCGTCTTTTTTTGTGTGGCTCAATCTACCCACACAGCCTAATGTTTTACTTACTCAATTCTGTCTCAACCAGTTCGGTATTGTGTTGTCCTTTTTCGATTTTGTCTCTTTTGGAAGGATTGTGATTTAGGCCGTTGTTGTGATGAGATTTGACACCAAAGTAATGTCTTTTCTAAAGAAGTAGGCTATAGTTCTAGGCCAATGTGTAAAACTTTTGATCGTTATTTTTCCCTCTCTCGTAACATAAAAATCATTGTGGTATGGCCACTTCCATAGATAACGTAACACCACTAGCTGCACACACACATTTTGTAACATGCCTTATTGTCCTCATTTTCTTATGCCATAGGCTATGACATTGATTCGATTTTTATGAGTTAGTGTTACGGTTAAGGGTAACCTAGGGATGGGAGACATGATAAACATTGAGAAGGATTACGATTAGTTAACAAAGTCGTTTTAAAATAATATACTGCCTTGGATTTCATAAACCAATGCATGTTGGGTTTTGTGGTTCTTGTTCTTCTGACAATCTTTTTTCTCTGAACTTTTTAACACTTTGAGAGCGATTTGGAGCTTTGGTCTGCCCTTCTGCCCCCCCCCCCCACTCTCTTTCATTGAATATGGGTGGTAGGGAGGCTCTCATATTGTTGCAGCGTGCTCCTCTAGTTCTTTTCATTTTCCTGTTGTCGACCCCTTTTGAAATGTGCCTGTTATAACTCTGGTTTATCATAAATTACAAATTAAGAGCTCTATACAGCCCCCCTCTCTCTCTCTCTCTCTCTCTCTCTCTCT